GTACCTTTCTGCAAACTCCAATGCTCTCTCTCCCCTTTCATTCGTTCTTCTTAGGCCAAACTTCCCCACAGTGCCCTTCCAGTCTTCGTATGTATCACTTCCAATTTGGCAGTTCCAGTCTCCTTGAACAATAATGTAGTCTCGCTTCTCAGTGTTCTCCAACACATCGTCTAGGGCATCATAGAACTCACCGATGTCTTCTTCTGACGAGCTGTTTGTTGGTGCATATATCTGCACATCACTGATATTCCTTGGTTTTGCCGCAATTCTGATTTTAAGGATCCTCTCGTTGATGGGATTGCATTCAATGACAGAGTTAGTCCATTCCTTATGGACAATAAAACCTACTCCCTTTTCATGTTTCTCTCTGCTTCCACTCCACCTTCAATGGTTGTCTCTCCTATTTCTTTCCATCTTGTCTTGCACAATCCAAGTAAGTTCCATTCGTAACCCGACATCGCTATCAGTAGTTCCTCAAGCTTTCCTGGTGCTCGAAGAGTACGAACGTTCCATGTTGCTGTATTGAATCTGCACTTCGGCAGGTTCAGAGGTCGCTGTGCCCCAGTAGCATACTTTCCGTCTCCATCCTGGGACACCTCAATGGTAGACGCGGCCGTTGTTAACCCGGGCCGCGACCTCTCCGAGTTCGCAGTGACACTGCGTGCTGTGTGTCCTTGGCCATTGTCCACATGAATGCAGATCCTCTACCCAACCACATGTCCAAGACGCCGTTGGTTCAGCTTTTGAACTCTTCCGCCGACCTGAACGGCCAATACCCTGCTGCCAATACTGGTAGGTGGGTGCTGAGCCTTTCCCATGGGCCCCCCGGGAGAAACGGTAGTAAGGGGTAGCTCATTAGTGCCCTAGATCCAGAGATCCCCACCGCCAGTTGAGTTTAACGTCGTCCCAGGACAGAATATATATATATATATATATATATATATATATATATATATATATATATATATATATATATATATATATATTTATACATATATATATTCATATATATATATATTCATATATATATATATATGCATATATATATATTATATAGATATTCATATATATATATATATATATATATATATATATATATATATATATATATATATATATATATTCACATATATATATATACATTCATATATATGTACATATATATATATATATATATATATATATATATATATATATATATATATATATATATATATATATATATATATATATATGAATTTATATGTATATATATGTATATAAGAATATATATATATATATTATATATATATATATATTATATATATATATAATATATATATATATATATAATATATTATAGTATATATATATATATATATATATTATATATATAATATATATATATATATATATATATATATATATATATATGTATAGATAGATAGATAGATACAGATATATACAGATATATACATATATATATAGTATATATATATATATATATATATATATATATATATATATATATATATTAATATATATGTATATATATATATATATATTATATATATAGATATATATCTATATATATACATATTAGATATATATATATAATATATATATATATATATATATATATATATATATATATATATATACATATATGATATATTATATATATGAGATATATATAGTATATAGTATATGTAGTATATATATATATATATATATATATATATATATATATATATATATATATATACTATATTATATATATATATATATATATATATATATATATAGAATATATATATATTATATATATATCATATATATATATATATATATATATATATATATATATATATATATATATATATATATATATATATATATATATATATATATATATATATATATATATATATATATATATATATATATATATATATATATATACATATAGTATATGTACATATATATATATATACTATATATTATATGATATATATATATATATGTATATATACGTATATATATATATATATATATATATATATATATATATATATATATATATATATATATATATATATATATATAGTATATATATATATATTATATATATTTATATATATATATATATATATATATATATATATATATATATATATATATATATATATATATATATATATATATATATATTCGCCCACACTGAAGCAGCACTGCAGCGACTCATCGAACGCTTTTCAACCTCCTGTGCAGAATTTGGTCTCACTATCAGCCTGAGGAAGACTCAGGTCATGGGCCAAGACGTCAGTAGTGCCCCCAGCATCTCCATCGGTGGCCACACCCTCGAGTTGGTGGACAATCTATCTCAGGTCTACCATCTCCAGCAACCTCTCCCTTGATGAAGAGCTGAACACCAGGATCGGCAAGGCAGCGACCACGATGGCCCGTCTGACGAAGCGAGTGTGGGATACCACCATTGCTCACCACCAACACCAATGAAGTC